AATAATACACATTAATTAAACTACAATTATAAGAGTTCGATGCGAATATTTTACGTTTAGATTTCAATGAGAATACTAGCCTGAAATTCCAGATTGAATGAAAGAAAAAAGCGACCGACAAGGACATGGAGTCTTGAAGACGACGGAAAAGGCGAAGCATAAATGCGTATTGAGTTTCAAGAAGGGTTCAAAGCTAAATTATTTATTAGTAGGATTTTTTTTTTTCAGATATTTGTAGAATCTTTTTGATATGGAATATTTATTGGGATCTTTTAACTTTAAAAGCAATTAAGAAAATACCAACAACATAAGTACTTAAGTGCTAATCATTTGCTAAAAGTAAGATATCTGAATTTAAGCCACATGCTATAAGAATGTGATAAAATAAGAGATAAAAAAGAGTTATTTTTTATTGTATAATTAACATAAAAAAAAAAAACAAAAAAAAAAAAAAAAAACTGGAAAGGCAAGGAAGGAAGACAATTTTTTTTAAAATAAACCTTCAAAAACCAAAAAATAAAATGAAACATGAACAAATTAAAAATAAAACCGCGTGAAACCCAAAAAGAAAAAAGGCCCCCCAAAAAAATTTTTTCATTTATAAAACCTGAACTCGAGATTTTATTTAGAAGAAATCGAACTCTTTCTACTCAGACCAATAGATCATTGGCATGGGATAATGTTATTGTCACAATAATTATTAATGTAATACTTTTTTATTTTAATTGATCATTATATATTTTAATTTATTAAAAAATAGAAAATATAAATTTTTGAAAAAAAATATAATGTAAGCATATAATAGATAATAACATTAAAAAATATGATATTAATTATTTAAAATGTAATATTAATCTCATCCAGAGCATGATTTCAAAGAAATGGATTCGCTCAATCAGAGGTTGGACTAAATGCATTAATTTGATTAAACAAAATATTTTCACCTCATTTTATTTCAATTAAACATGCTATAAAAACTATGTTTAACAAATCCTTCTAGAATTTAAAAAGTATTCGTTTAAGTCCTTTGAGTGTGTGTCAAAAAGCAAAATTGACTAATTTTTTTTAGTTACATTATAAGAGCTAATTTTTTTTATATTCCTTGTATTAGAGGCCAAAAAAACCACTTAGGGAATCTAAGTACTAGAAAAAGAATTACTAGTTATAAAGGGTATGCCTCAATCTTGACCACACCCAAGGCCCACAAATAAAGAGATATCATCGTTCTTTACTAGGTACAATTAAAAATTAGAAATAAAATTAACAAAATTTTTGAGGCAATGTGTAAAAGGTTGTTTATTTTGTTTTAATTATTATATTTTTCCTTAAAACAAAATTATCATATGTTCTTTATAAGAACACCCAATTCTTTTTGGAGATTCACACATCTTAAGAATCAAAGAAGATAAGTGCAAGGCGTGAGCAATCCATAAGAATCCTAATATGAAGAGAGATATTCCTCGCAAGCAATAACACCAAATTACAAAATTTTGGTTCTAACCATTCATCAACTCTTCTAATTCTCAAAGCTAGTTTTTTATTTTTTAACAATATTGGCATGGGTCAAGTTCAAACCCACCCAAAAAAAAAGAAGGAGATGCACTTTAAGGTGGTAAGAGATTACTCGGTCTAAAGGATCAAGTGCAATTCTCAAAGTTAGTTTCATGCTTTTTGATCTAAAGTTTGCATAATTTTTTCTATGGTGAGTTCCCCATACCATGGTTTTGTGATTAAAGATTACTATGTCGGCATCAATAGTATTCTTTATTATTTTTTTACATTAGCAATGGAATTAGTCAAGCACTTGCGTCAGGGGCAATATAGATTAGGTTGTAGATACGTGAGAGTCTGAGAGAAGCAGACGGGGCCCCACCTACATATGCGCCTAACTCTGCCCCTGCTTTGACCGATTTCATGATCCATATTATATTATTCGAATTTTAAATTTATTATTTTATACGATAATAAATTATTGTTGAATTAATTAAGTGATTGGCATTAAAATTAATTAATTAATTATTATTTTCATTAAAGATTTATTTTATTTAATGATTAAAATTATTTAAATTAAAGATGTGTTTGGAATTATAATTAGGAGTTTTTTGTATAGTCATATAGTATTTATATATATGTTTAGTAATTTTTTTTTAAATTGTTTTTTTTAATTACAAAAAATCACACTAAATATATAAAAATTATATATATAAAATTAAAAATCTTATTTTAAAGCTTTCTAATTAGAATTTTTATGAAGAATGCATAATATTTAATATAATTATAAAATTACTCATTAAAACTCAATTTTATATAATTTAATTATATTATAATTTATAATATTTTAATAGTTATAATAAATCTAAAAACTTAAATTATTAAAAAAAATAAATATTATTTATTTTAATAATTATATATCTTATAATATTTTTAAAATTTTAATTAATAATTAATAAATTTCATCATATTTTATTCATAATATTTTAAAAAAATAAATAACTAAATATCAAAATAATTTTTCGTTATAGTTACAATACAACACAGTCAATGTAATTACAATTACAACAACAATCATAGCAACAATCATAAGCTTACGGTACTTTACAATAATTTTCAATGCATCCTAAAACAGAATGAATTGCACAATATTTTTTTATTAAAAAAATCAATAAAAAAAAACACAAAATATTATAACATAAATAGAAGAAATAATGTGGATTCCTTCCAACCTGAGAACTGCTGCCCATACTAATCAGATTAGTCAGATGCTTCATATCAATCGTACAGGGTAATTTAAATATATTCCTAAGTTCAGACAGCACTATTTTTGTGAACATGGTGTCTATATGCTTTTCATAATGGCAAATTATCAAATTTGATTTTGCTTCAAGAATTGTGTCAACAGATAACAGATAACAATAGGAGATTCAAACAGGAACGAGGACCTCCAAACCTTAATAATAAATATCTAATCACATGAAGCCTATACTTATTTTGAAAATATTACAATTATTATGTCATATAAAATTATAATTTTATAATATGATATATTATTATATAATTC